CGCGTATCGTCGATCTAGGTGCTCGGTACGTCTTTGATCCACCGTGGAAACTGCATTTACCGTGCAGTTCCTGCTCGATAAGCGGCCTATGGTCACATCGAGGCGGTTCGACTTCGTCCTTCGTTTTGCTCCTGCACGATTCTTATTTTATGCCTGGTGTCTTAATGCACTGACACTGACTTTATCGGTGAAATACTGTTGCCCGGCTTGCCTCCGAGCGCTTTGTAACTTAATCGTCTTTATGGGCGCGCGCGCGCGCGCGCTCTCCTTTTATCAATGGACTTCATATCGTCCGGGTTGTTTATTTCGGCTTAGAACGCGGAATACCGTTCGCCGTTTCAGAATTACTTTAAACCGTCGCCGCGGCTAAATTGTGCACGTGCGATGCTTGCGAGGATTGCCCGTCGTTCGTTACGCGTTTCAACGCGGAACACAGAGTTAACTGCGAACAGACCGTCGAACTCACCGGTTTCAGACCGGGTTTTTTTTTTATTTTGAAATCCGGACAATTTTTTTATTTCGAAATCGTCGGAGTTACGCACACTCTGTTGCAGCAAACGATTGAGTCTATATAGATCGAATTTAATACAACAGCGGATAAGTCTGAATAAATGAATTGCATTTTCATTTACAGTTAATCTGTGAACTGTTAACCCTTAAAATTTAATTCAGTTAACACTGAAGGAACCATATCGTTCGAACTCACTGGCCTCGTATTTTCTATTTTAAAATTGACAAGGCTATGCAAAACGAAATTAGGAGTAATTTCCTTCATTTATATAAATAAAAAGAACTCGCTTATTAGTTGATTCCATTTCTCCTGCATGAGAACAATGTAATCAAAAAAATTTATGAGAAAAACTAGATAGGTATTTTTCTGAACCGATTTCGTTAGATTTCCGGGAGTGGCAAGATGGTTAACCCTTTGCACTCGAAGCCATTTCAACTGTGGATCTAAGCTAGTTTTTCTGACTTATTATATTTCTATTTTATACGAGACAAAATGCATTTCACGCGTACGAAATTGACTCTTGTGACTGATACAACAATATTATACTTTTAACAACTTTCTAAACCTAAATCTCGATTATATAAAAATGGTCTTGGAACGTGCTATAACAATCTTAACGGTGCCTCGGAGTCGCCATTCGGGTGCAAAGGGTTAATAAAGTAAATTCTCCCTAATCGAGGCTCAGTTTAAACACAAAAATAGACAATTTGGGAATCGAAGATACGGTTTATTCGTGACTTACAGCTCGTTCTCATAGTAATTAAAAATCGGTAACTATAAAAACGAGCCTCCTCTTCCCAAATCGCCCATATTCTGTCCAAGGAAATCGACTGAGCGTCAATTAGGAAGAATTCACTTTACCATCCAAGAAGAACGTTCAAAGAAAAAGTGACTCCGCACGCGGTGGTTCCGCGCGAAAGCGCGTTTCCACACCGCGGCCCGAGTTTGCCGCCTTGAACCGAATCCAGAGCAACCCAAAGAAGAGTATCCGCCGGCAAACAAAAGCGAAATTTCGTTGGTCCCGGCGTAAATTCTTCGGCGCAAAATTCTCGGGCGTAATAAGACATCGCCGCGCAATAATAGCATCCCCCGGCAAAACGTTTCCGCCGCGCCGCAAACACGCGCCGTAAGCGCCGGTTCAAACGACTCCCAACCCTTCTTATCGTTTCCACCTTGATCCCCGGCAGAGGGTGTCTTTGTTCCTAGCGGTGAACATGTTCACCCACAGAGACGTTCACTCCTTGTACGTATGTTAGCCGGCATACCGCGGCTAAAACTGTCTCCGGCAGTGTCTCTTCGTTCCGTCCCCGCCTCCCAACCGCCGCCATCCGCCCTCCCCGTCCCCCTCCCCCCCTCGCCGTTTCTGGTCCCGGATCGTAGTTCGTTTCCTTCTGCTCTCCCTGAGTCAACGCGGATCGTCTCGTATCCAGCCCCGGCGAGAGAGCAGAAGCTCTTAATTTACCTTTCCTACGCCGAGAGGAACCGTGCTCGCGATGAAACGGGCCGCGGGCGGCGGCGGCAGGGGGTCGGCGGGGGGGATGAAGAGGACGCAACGCGACGGCCTGGGGGATGGGGCGGCGCGGGGCGGCGGGGAACGCGCACAGCACATAACAATTAGGTCGTGTTGTCTTGAATTCTAAGCAGGCTAGTGAACTGATCCTGAGCACTGCCGCGAGATAAATGCGGCCTTAAACGATACCGATATAGACGGGCTGCTACGCCGATCGCTTGCCAAACTCGCTCGTGCGCTCGGCAACCCCCGGCCCCCCGTTCTCGGCTCTCTTTCTCTCCCTTTCTCTCTATCTCTCTCTCGTTACCCGGCTCTTTCTTTCGGGAACGACGTCGCGCGGGCCTTCGCCGCTCGACGGTTCTCGCTTACCCGCCGACACAAATCGCTCCCCGGCACCAGCTCCTTTTCTGGCGGTTATGAATGTTTCTTCGTCCCATAGTCGTCGCCACGCCGGCGACACGTCGCTCCTTTTTTCCGACGGCCGCTCTCGTGTATGATTTCGCTGGCTGCACCTCGATCGCGCATTCCGCGCGGCGGAGCTCATCGTCGGCTAAACGGTTTCTGGGATTCGCGCGCGGGCACGTGAGAAAATGATCGCACTTCGCGAGGGAGTCTCTTCGCGTTCGTTAAAACACGAACGAGCCGACGCACGCGCGCGCGCAACGAGCACGATTTTGTGTTCCGCGCGAGGAATAGCGAATTCGTTCTGTGAACCGAATTCGTTGGAATCGTGACGCGCGATGGTCGGCGAATTTGTTGCTGCTTTCTGGAGACATTTTTAGCGGATTTTTTTGTTCGATTGGATAAATGCAATAGATCGAAGTTTCTACGCCAGTGATGCTGGTGACGAACGTGTTAAACGCATTATGGTTCCTTAGACGGTTGCAGTGATTAGCATTTGTGAATCGTTGATCGCTTGTTCGCGACTTTTTGTTTCGATAGTGAAACGTCGCTATTTTTTCAATTTTAAAATTGACGATAAATTTGTATGTGTAGATTTGATAGTCTTATGATAAACTTTCTGCTTAATGTTGTCTTGTTTCGTTTGGTGCGATCTTGTAACCCTTTGCACTCTGAGAATCCACTAATAATTGTTGTATCGCGTTTCGAAATAATTTTCATATTAAATACATTTACTAAACTGTTGAAAACCTACGTGTTGTATTAGTCACAAGATCCAATTATATTTATAGATACAATATGATAATGATAATAATAATATTAGTAGTAGTAGTAATATAATAATAATAGTAATAATAATAATAAATATGCGCATTTCATGCATTTATGAAAAACTCAAATAGATCAAATACAAAATAGCAAAAACGTATAAACAATTTGCTACACTCAATTGCGCTATACTCAATTTATTAAAATGATTCAGAAATGAAACAAATGTCTGCATAATTCCGGCATCTTGCAATAAATGAAGAAAATTATAATTTTGCCCAAAAAATCCTCAGTATATTAATAAATAATGCACTCTCAAAACCAATTACAGTAAATTCTCCAAAATTTTCCTTCGGCTTGTAAACAAAAATGGACAATTTGCGAAGAGAAGCCTTGCACCTCATCTTTTTATAATAGTTAACTAAAAAAATGAGCCGTATCTTCCCTTCTCAAATTATCCATTTCTGTTTCCAAGCTGAAGTAAAAATTTGGGAGAATTCACTATAGTTCCACAATCGCCATAAAAAACACACTTTTCTCCGCCTTCCCGATCTTCGAGCCGAGTTTTTCCTCGACTCGCAGCGCTAATATTTCGCTAATATATTTCGAACAATTTTTAAGCTTAAGCCTTTTAATCTCGGGCCGTTCTGTCGTTCTCGCCGATCTTTCTCTTGGCCGATTCTTGTCAGCCTTTTTGTATTCTCGCCCTCGCACGCCCCGTCTGCCGCGGGACTTCCACTCCTTCTTCTTCGTCTCCTTCTACAGGCCGACAGCGAGGGTTTTAGGTCTCCGAGTACGACGACGGTACAATTGTTACGTGGCTTGTTAGCGTTGTCGCGGGCTAATGGTGCACTTTATTATCGGTCTCCGCTTGCTCCGCGTTGCGTCCACGGTGGATGCGTTTAAATCACCGTCCTTTGATGCATTAGCCCCGGCACCGGCTCGCGCTGTCCAATCTTCGACGCGTCGCGTCGCCTCGTGCGCTTCGATGACGTCGCGGCAACGGGGATCGTAATTGGAATGGACCGAGACATTGATGGAAATTGCTACCGTTTCCATTAATCTACGCGCGTTCATTTTCCACCCGTCATCCAGCACCGCATTCACCTGTGTTACGTTGCCCTCGGCAAACATTTTTGAATCGCGGCGCGGAGACAACGCACGCGCCGATAAATTCTTACAAATTGCAGGATTTTACGGAAACCGTATGCGCTTTTTGTTCTCTGCGTCGGATCTCGACGTCATTTTTTCAATTTTCTGACGTTTTATAAGCGCCAAGGTTTTAACGTTTCAACCCTTAGCACTCGATTCTGCATCGATGCACTGAATACTCCGAGACGCTATTAAAAATTGCTATGTCGCGTCTAAAAATAATTTTATTAAACAAATTTCTTTGTATTTAAAGAGCTGTTGATAGCATAACTGTTGTTGCACGGGTCATAATATTCAATTTCATGTGCATAAAATGCACTAGGTGATATAAAATGGAAAAACCGCGGGTCGGAAGAACTATTTTATTAATTCTGCGTTAATTCGGTTTCGAGTGCAAAGGGTGATTGTTCTGTTTCTTTAATTTTCTGTTGTTTTACAAATTGCACTCACGTTATAATTTTCGTTCCCTCGATCCTATTGTTTTATTTCTAATTCTTCAACGCTAATTGTCTTCGAAAGAATCGCGAGTCTTTTTACAGATTATAACATCTGGCACCGAAATTATTCGCCGAGCAACCGGCCGCATTCTTTCAGAAAATATCTCGAAGCTCGCTTGACCATGAAAAATGATGCATTCGCTTCGACAGAGTAACTCACCCTTTAGTTTGTCGTGCACTAGCGCCCTCTGGAAGTGGTCCTCCACCTCGGACGCAGCATCCCCTCGGTAGTGCGTGTAGATCACGCAATTTGCGTTCAGATACTGCGCTCTGCTTTCGCCGTCGTCTGAGTCCTCCGCGGCAGTGCCAGCACCTACGGCTACGAAACGATTAGCAACGGCCATTTTACCAGATTTTAAGACTCAAAGAAAACATTAATATTTCAATCGTGAGATCTGACACATTTTTCGCCATTTCGCACACGTTTCGCAATAGTCAAATAATTAAAAGAATTAGAAGATGCCATTGTATCCTTTGCAACTGGTTAAAGTTAATAGAAAGAAGAATAAATCTCGGTGCAATATCCACTTGTTGCGATTAATCTAACCTTTCATTTTGCCACGCAATCTACAATCCACAATCTAATTATTAATCTAAATTAATATTCGCCGTCTTAGTATAATTATCAACTTAGACACACACGGCGAATAGTATAACTATTATAATTATCTACTTATACTAGTATAATATATACTAGTATAATTATCAACGTGTGACCACCGAGAGCTAACATCCGAGTAAATATTACCGAATATTTTAAATATTATCGAATTTGCTCGAAAATATGTCAAGCGCCTCTTCGAGCATCTGTTTTACGATCGACGGCAACGAGGAGAAATCCCTTTCTAAAAAGAATTCTAAATTCCAAAATCCCTCTCTAAACATTCTAATTTCAACTCACCGTCCGTCGACCTGTCGTCGTCTAACGTTCTGGTAGGGGTAGGCCGAGTGGTCGTGCCGGTAAGGAGCGGCGGTGGTTGCGGGGTTGGTCTGGGCGACGCTGGACTGGGTGCTGAACCGACGGAACCGGCGCTACTTGGTTGCCCTTGCGGAACACTACCGCTAGCGCCGCAAATCTCGAGACCTGCCGCCTCTAGCGATCTTTGGTGCACGTTCAACTACAAAAACAATACAGAGTTCCTTAGCTTTTTTTTCGTGAACTCACCTCAGTGAACCACAAGAGAGTCGCGATGATCGTAGAATTGACAGGTCAGAACGTGTCTTGAGAATAATTTTATATATACGTCGTGCAAACACTTTATATGTGTATAAACATTACTGTAAATATTACTATTGTGATAAAAATAGTAATTTTTATCAATTTCCAGTAGGATAAATTTCTGGACACTGATACCTTCCCTTGATTTATTAAAATTATTAGGAAAAAGAAATACGTTTTTCTGTTTCTTATAATTGAATGATATAATTTTTATTTTGCACAAAATAAACACATACAATAATATTGTATAAAATAGCAAGGGATTGCTTTCTGGATTCTCGCATATTCATTTCGTCCTGTTCATTCGAAGTGCAAAACCGAGTTTGCGACAAGATTTGTATAATTTCTATAAGACATAATTATGTTTTATATTTACGTTTCCAGAATAATGTTAAAACCTGGAAAGGGATGATTCCTGAGGCAATTTCGAGTAACTTTTTCCTCAGCCAAAATGCAATCCGCGGCTTCGTTTACGAGTTATTAACGAAAAACGCTGACCAATGAAAGGCGAGCTTGGCTGACGCAATACGGCCGAGTCACCGAGCGGACAAATCCCGGTTGCGCTCATTGACATGGCCACGCCTCGCTGCAGCTGATCTCGCCTCTCATTGGCCAGCGTTTTTCGTTGATAACTCGTAAACCAAGCCGCGGATTGTATTTCCGCAAAGGAAAAAGTTGCTTCAAATGACCACAGGAATCACCCCTTTCCGGGTGTTAACATAATTATTAATTTTACATTACCACTATTATTAATTAGTTCGCTTAACTACGTAACAAAATTCTCGTTTAAATTCTTCAAGCGTCCAAAGTCTATCCCCATCCAACGCACGTCCATCGAACGTACGTTTATCGAACGCGTTTCTCCGAATCGTCGAGCGTGAAAACCGTGGAGCGCAGCTTCGGACGAAGTTAGTTAGAAAGTACGGGGTTCGGTGGCAGTTTAGATTGTGTTCGAAAGGTTCCGAGCATATTTGTATAACATTATCATTCGACTGAAAGCCGGCAACTTCGTTCCGCGAAGAAACAACCGAGCCCATCGACTGTTGCAGAAGCAGCTCCTCCTCGCGTATCCGTCTGCGCACGTCATCATGGTTTCCCGCGGTATTCCTCAAATATTTTTTCAGACGCGAGTTTCCTTATGCAAAAGCAATCGAGCGTTAAATTAAAGAAATACCTGGCCTCTTTATTAATCAATAGATTGTCGTGCGAGCGCGTCGACGGTGCGCGGCGGCTACACCTAGGCGTTGCGCAGCCGGGAATATTTTTATTCGCGGCGGGACTAGAATCCAGCGAAACGAAGAATAAAAAAAGAAAAAAATCCGGACTTCTTCAATTTCAATCCGCGCGAATCCGAACGGCGACGCCGTCTCTTATTCCTTATGGCTGATTTAATGCGTGTGCTAGGAGGCGTCGTGTACTTGAAATACTTTCGAAGCAACGCGCCGCGGCTTCTCGATAGCCGGCGACGTCTTGTAAGAAGTGAATGTTTTTGATAAGCTTTATTAATGCTTCACTGTTTATGTACACGCGGATGATTAAGATAGACACGGTTTGAGTGAAACGTGAACCGTTGGTTTCGCGGGTCTCGATCAATTTCGCAATGTCCTTTCACTCGGTAATTTTCGCACGCTTCTCCTCTCGGTTACGTGGCGGCGACGATTAAACCACCACGGTGATATTTATAATTATCAGAGTTCGTGCGAACCGTCGTTTATTTGCTTAACCGTGTCACGGGCAGGCCGAGGGATTTATCGCGGAAAGTTTATTCTTAAAACCGGCGTACGCGCGTTCACATTGTTCGCTAATTGCGAATAAATAATCGTGAAAGCTTCGGTTTATTTATCCCGCTTATTTGCATCGCGTGCTCGAAAGCAATGGCTGCTGAAACGCTTCTCGAGATCCTCAATCCTTAGGGGATCGGGGATTTTTAAGCCAGCGAGAACGTTTTCCTCGGGAAAACTAGATTAGGGCGGCAGGGAGCCGGTTACTGTGTTCTTTTATCTCGTTTATTTCTCAATAAAAGTATTTAATTCGCGTCGTTCGGTAAATATAAAGGTATTTTTTATTGTTATTACAAAGAAGAATTGCTTATTATATGGTTAAACTTATTATTGTTGTAACTTATTATTATTATTATAAAATATCGAAAATAAAGCAAATACACAGCGATTCCTTCGAACTGGTGAATTTCACGTTTCATCCACTGGATCACGAATGTATTTTCTCGTCTAATTCAGTTAAGTGTGTGTGTGTGTGTGTGTGTGTGTGTGTGTGTGTGTGTGTGTGTGTGTCCAGAAATTAAATGATCTTCAAGATTAAAATCTCACCGTGTAATAACTTTTACAATATCGCTGTAATGTTCAATCGCTGAGTCATCGAAAGAGTCTCATATTTCTTGCAATTAAATGATTCCGATTTACATAAAGGTTTCTTTCGACATGCATTTTGAAAAATAGACGATTCACCCTTCCAAAAAAACTATATCCAAACGAATGTGACACTTATTAGCCTAATAAGTATAATTATTAGACTTCGAGGGAAAATTCTTCCCTTAACACTAAACCTATCAAGCTAATCAAAATGGCCGGCCCCGTATTTCGTATACTTCAAAATTGCTGCAATTATAAAAACACTTTCATAGGAAATAATCGAATTAATTTTCTAAATCAAGTACAATAAATTCTCCATAATTTTTTAAGTTTTAATTAACAAAAATGGACAATTTTTGAAGAGAAGATACGATTATTCGAGCCTTGCACCTCGTTTTTATAATTGTTGACGATCGGCAACTATAAAACTGAGCCGCAAATTGTCCATTATTGTTTACAAATTAAAGGAAAATTGGGGAAAAATTACTGCACCGACTATAATCAAATTTGTGACAAGTCTAAATAAATTCTGTTATAATAACCTTGTTAACCCCTTGACACTTATTCCAATTTCAAAGCACAGAATAACATCGACAATAATTTCTCCCTAATTCCTCTTCTCCTCGATTGTCTCGAATCATAGAAAAATCGCACTATACTCGATAACTAATTAACAAAAATCTTCGCGACTCGCCAGCCTCGTCGGCCGATCACGTCAACGGTTTAACGAAAAAATAAAGTCCAACGAACATCCGAAACAACATTAGAACAAACGCGCACGCTTAAAACGCCGCGAACAATTTCTACCCCCATCCGGCGCATACCAGGGTTAATCGTGCCGTCGCCAAAAATCGTGCTGATAATAATCCGGCGGCGATAACGATCGGCCGGAGAGTATCGACTGCGGTTCCTCAACCTGCGCATATCCCCTTCCCAATCATGCCATTCAAAACCACTCAATAAAGAGCCGGCGGCGGACGCACCAATCGATGCTTGAAATTGCAACAAGCCCCGCGTGGCAACGGTATCGACGTGTCCGTCGCGTCGGGGCAACGTCAAAATATCGTAGGCCCACAGCAGGACCGTCGACAACGAAATGCCTGTCGATTAAACGCTTCGATATCCGACTGTCAGCGGCGCGGATAATTCGAGGGATTTTCCGCCCACCCCCGGGGCCGGGGCCTCTCGCGCGTCCCCTTTCACGGAACCCCCGGCGACGGTCCCTCTGTCGCCCCCCGAACCCCTCCCCGACGGTGTCCGTTCTCCGCCATGTCATCCATCCGAGCGTCACCCGGTGAATCCGAACGCGGCCGTCTGGGTTAGGTTGACGTTTAGTAGGTAAATCGTACGAGCGACGTCCTTAGAAGAGGGGTGCAGGCCTCCATTGAGCACATACCGAACCAGGCGTCGGTGTCCATTGTGCACCCTGGCCCGGGGTCGGGTCCGACTGCAAATAGCGCGAGAGCTATGCTATGCGCACTGGCATCGTCACGGCTGCTCGCAACGAGAGACCAAATAGGACGTAATGCTCGCTATTCATTAGATCCGAGGGATGCAAATGCCACGCTGGGTCATGGCATTCTGCTCGAATTTTTTCGGGCCGCGTACCACGGCCCGATACGATCGTGTGCCCCGCGGAGCAAGCCAACTATTCGGCCACGCCGGATCGAAAGATGGCACCGGCCCGCGCATCGACGCTCGATCGAGACATTCCTGTCGGCGCGACGCGTCGATTTAGATTAACCGATCGACTCCCGACGCCGTGGCCCGACGGGATCCCGCGAGCGGGATCGACGACGCTCCCGAATACTCTGGAACGCGATTCAGCCGGGCTAACATCGTTTCTTTTCTCGTAATTCTTTTGTTTAATCACGGCCAACAGCAATTAGCGTGAAATTGTGGGATTACGATCGTAGGGTTGCAATCGTAGAGTTACAATCGTAGGTGTAATATGTACATAATTTATGTACATTTAATTTATTTATTTAATGTCGCATCTGCTTCGTAGCAATTAGTGACCATATAATAGTTTTTGCGTTAAATTATCTGTACTGTGGCTTCGATATTTTTCTTCTTAATTCCTTACCGTTCCATTTACTTCGTGGCTATAATGATTAGCTGTTTTTTGACTGTAATGATTTTTAAGGAGAAAAAAAAGTGACAGTTTATATTTATTCCGTGTCTAGGTTTATTTAAATGTTTAAGGTTATTTGATGACAAGATGTCAGAATTTTACTCAGACTAAAAAGAAATGGAGTAATATTCATAGCTAACAGGTTCTTATTAGAAATCTCCATTAGACTCGTTACAGTACGGCAAAGGTTAATCTAGATTCCTTAAGTTACTGTATAATTTCGCTGAACATTTTCGTTTAAATAAATATCACATAACTTTTGCTGTCACCATTTTTATTGTAACGTATGTTTGAAAACTGTTGAATCATTCGTCATACTGATAATATCAAAGAATATGTGTTATTAATATATAATAATATATTATTAGATATGCTTTGATATTCTTGATTAAATTA